GGCACGCATGCAATAATCGAAGATCGGTGAAGTTACCTGTGCATGTAATCCAACGAAGTACGCATTGCCCAACCGCTCGAAGGAGCCGCTGCCGGTATTTCAGATCCAACGATGGCCCTCCTGTAGCGTGAACATTGCGACTGCTATGCAAATTAGAAATGTGCAACCCACTTACCTGTGAAATCACATCTCTGCCAACGCCAATGTCATCCTGTTCTCAACTTCGCAACCAGGTTCGCTGAACCTTTTTTACTTGAAAACAGAGAAGCATCAACATCAGCAGCATAACGCCCTTTATATCTCTCCTGTGGGTAAGAGAAGCGCATTTTGAGCAGACGCGACCTCGACAGGTACTCTGTAAACTGTACAGCTGAAATCTCACCGGTCATTTCCAAAACTTAGGCTTGCGCCTTTGACGTTCTATCGTCTTCAAACGTATAAAGCTATGTGGTTACGGTGACTATTAAATGTCGTACTTGATGCATAATACGAAGTGCAATCCGTCATATTTCTAATTGGGGAATGTGCCGACGCTCCGTACCCTAATATCCTGCGACGCGAAGTACAGATTCGGAAGTCTCAAGGTCATCGTGCTGATTGCTGCGATAGCGACCAGCTCGTACCTATTCTGGCTGAGCAGCAGCAGCAGCAGTTGAATAAGGGCATCGACGGCTCCGTCGTACATGATCCTTCGTGTTGTTGTATGCCGGAATGAATTGTGTTCGCAGCGCTTTTGGTCATACGTCCATGACAGGCCTACCGCGGTAATGGCGATGTAGTTTACGGTACCTGGGCACTACATTCTCCCTGCAGAAACAAAACCTTAGGCTAAATTCATACAAAACTGCCGCTGCTAGGCACATGTTTATCAAGTGAAGCAATACTCCGCATATACGTTTATTTTCAAGCAGTGTATGCCGTGCGCTGTAAAAGTAGTACCTGTAATGCAAAAGCGTGCAGAGCAAGAAAATATTATTTCTGCTTCGAAAGAATTCAAGAGAAAGGAAATTTGAGCGCTGAACCCTTTTAAAAAAGAATATCATTGTGGTTGCCCGATAAATGGAAAAATCGCCGCAGTTATCAAAAATAATACTGCACCAGCGAAGTGCATGTTAAGAGAAAAATAGATGCACGGAGTAGTACAAAATTATAAACATAATTGTATTATTTTAAATGCTGTGCTATTAGTAAATGTTTTATTATTTAACTGTTTTTCGTTTTGAGATGGAATACTTACTGCGCCTATTTGCAGAATATTCTGCCTTTTTTTAAATAATGTATAAGTTCAGTGCACGTTAATGATTAATCTACTCGCGCTGCAGTGATCGAGCGGCTGACCTTCAAATGCTGGCTGCTGCCTAAATTAGTTATGGAATTAAAAAGATACCTCGATTACGTTGATGATTCCGCCGAATGCAGTGATCACGCCATCGCGTCAAATGTGCTGTCGACGTCCATAATTGTTGGCGCTGGTTGTGAAGGAGACGCGCGCGCGCATCATATCAACGAACGATCACAACACAGAACGATAAAAAATACTTTTAACAACGGTAAAAAATTGCATAAAAAAAGAAAGTGAAATTGAAATGAAAGTAGAGAAGTCAAACCGGCAAATTTTCTGCTGATGGTGAACTGTGAAGAGGTGCTACCAGTGCACGATCGAGGAAACACGGAAGCAATAGGAAACGATCCTCAGTTCCTAATCTGGCTAATCGCTGCTTTGTTATTTCGCTAATGAAACCAAATCGTATCGTAAAACAACTAATTTAGTTTTTTATAAAAAAAACTAAATATAATTGTACCTAATTAAGTAGTAAAGAAAACAAAGCGTTAAAATATAAAGCAGTCTTACAAAACACTGAAACCGCACTAAGATTGCGGTTTACTGTTTGCGATTCGAGTTTTGTAAGCCGGAAGTTCAGCGCGCCCGGGACCTTGGAGGCAATACTTCTACATTTGCCGTTTGCCTTTGGGAGTATAAGGGACGACAGAATTAATACATATGTTACGTGGGACGACAGCGCATTAAAGAAGAAAATTAATTAACGCGACTTCGGTGGCGACGCCGAGATTAGCGCAATGTGCTGACGACGAGCCGATGCGTGACGGCTCAGGCGACAGATGCCCGCCGCTTCCGGTTTGTTTTCGACCACTACAGCCCGCAGTTACGTCACCCACTGGAAGCCGCACGCTGGCAATAATCGAAGATCGCCGAAGTAACCGGTGCATGTAATCCAGTCAAATGCGCACTGCCCAACCGCCTGAAGGAGCCACTGATATTCCACATCCAACAACGGCGAACCTATGGCGAACATCACGACTATTGCGCGGATGAGAAACGTACAACCCAACTACCTCCGCGATTAGATCTCAGAGCAAAGCGAGTGCCATCCTATTCTTAACTTCTGCATTAGGCGCGAAGCACCTCATTTTACCTGCAAACAGAGAAACAACAAAGCTAGCAGCATAGCGTACATATAATAATATACCTGCATATTTATGCCGATTATCCAATTTTAAACTCCTGTGACTGAGAGAAGCGCATTTAAGATGACTTAACGCAACCTCAACATGTACAAATTGTTTTATACCGTTCTTTTCCACAATTAGGCTTGCGCATGTGAAAATTAAAAGTAGATTAAAGTGTAACCGGAAAATTTTCTTTTGACGTGAAGTGCAAAGATGTGCGCAGTTTAGAAAACACAGCAAGCGGAAACAATCCTCAGTTTACGGTTTTACAAACACCGCTTAATTTGGCCAATCGCTATTTTGCTGTTTCGCTAACAAAATGGAATTGTATCGTAAACGCAAAGAAAAGTAATTTAACTGGGCATAATTATATGGCAATGAAAAAACGGAAATATAGCCTGGTTTAGGAAAAACCTAAAAAGAACCGCAATAAGATTCGTGATTTAATGTTTGCGGTTCCAGTTTTGTAAACCCGTAAGTTCTACGCGGCCGGAACCTTTGTGGCAAATACTCCTACGTTGTCGTTTGCTTCTACGAGTGTAAGGGACATCAAAATAGCAGTTCTGTGGGAACGACAAGGCAGTAAAGAGCCGAAATTTCTTACTACGACTTCCGGTGACGGCGCCGAGATGAGCGCAGTGTGTGAACAACGCGTCGATTCGTGACAGCCCCCGGAATCCGCAAGACACACCTGCAGTATACAAAGATCGCCGAATTTACTGGTGCATATAATCCAGTAAAATGCGCATTGCCCAATTGCCCAACGGAGCTACTGATATTCCAGATCCAACGATGATCCAAAAATGCCGAACTTTACGACCGTTGCGCGGATCCGAAATGTACGCGATCTCCGACAAAGCGAGTGTCATCGTGTTCTCAACTTCTCCATCAGCTGCGATGAACCTCATTTTCCCTGCAAACACAGAATCATCAATATAAGCAGCAAAATATTCATATACATCCAACTAAATAATTTATAATCTCCTGTGCCAAAGAGAAGCGCGTTTCAAGCGCAATTAAGATGACTTAAAGCAACCTCGACAGGTGCAACTAATATTATACCGGTATTTTCCAAAAATTAGGCTTGCGCATTTGACGATCAATCCTTTCCAAACGTATAAAACTATGTACTTGCGATAATTATGAAATGACGCACTTTTATGCATAACACAGAGTGCATTAAGTCATATTGATTTGAACGAAATCATATCAAGCAACTGACGCAAACACATACTTGATACTAGTAAATAAATTTGAACAGAGAAGCACACTCACAAACATGTAGCGAGATCCTGTGAGAAAACGTTGGCGGATCCAGTTTACTCAAGGTGGAGAGTCTGGGAAGGTAGGCTGTCCACAATTGCAGGGCGCAGAATTCCATCATTCACAAATTCCTTCCTTCGGGGAGTCTTTTTGCATTCCAGTCATGCCCGCTGTCAACACCGCGATGTCCGTCTCATAAAGTACGCGTGAGCTGTTCGATGGGGGTGAGGTAACGAAGTACAGTGGCTTATCAACCCTTAAAACGGTGTTGCACGAGTTGACAAGCCAGTGTACTCCATCACCGGCATGGTTTAGACGCTTCTTCATTGCCTGGATGTCTCGGCTGACCTCGTCGGTAAAATGCTGGACCTTCTCTACCTCCTCCGGTGGTCGTCCGCAAAAAGCTGATGATCTTGTTGGAGCTGATGATCTTGTTGTTGGTTGATCTTTTTTTGATCTTTTTTTTTCACCTCCAGTTCGTAGACCAGGACGAAGAGGGTTCGGTTGCTGTATGTTCTCCCTCGTGATATTGCAGGTTACAACGTCATCGGTACTCGTACAATTGTTTGGGTACAACAGTACCCACAAACAACCACGAGCTAGTTCTTCTCAAAGCTGCTTATACGGTATAAACGAATTTTAAACAATGCAGCATAGTTATGGTTATACTTAAACAATAATTAAAAAGGTATCACTGCAGTTTAGTATTAAACCGGATGTATAAAGCAGTCGAGCTGAGATGCTTTTCAGGGCATCGTTTCAGGGTCTACCAAGTAAAAATTCACCCTACGTTTCTGATCATGATATACCGATATGGTTTTTTAGGGAACGTAGCGACCATTTGTAGTGGACGCTCGATCCGGATTCCGAAATTATTTCGGAAGACGTGCGACACGTTAAATCAATTTTTTCTGAAGCAACGGATTACTGTAGTTGAGTACCTATCGTAAAAGTACCTAATTTTGTAGCAGTAGTGTCTGGTTAATACTGTCATAATAATTATGAATCGAAATAAAGAAGAAAGTTTAAAAAAATCTTACAAGGGAATTTAGCTGTCGTTTTAGGAACTACGCCGTATAGAAATCAAAATTATATAATTTGACGATATTGGTGAATTTGATTACTAACCGAAGAGCATATTGCAAATATTATTGCCTGTGTTATTGCGAAACATGCAAAAAACAGGGAAAGAACATGTTGAATGGGACCGTTTAGATTGCAAACCACGTTGTCCGACTTCAACTCGACAGAAAGCTGCTGTTGTCCGAACCTGTACTCGCAGCTACCGACTCGTCATGTAAAAGATATTTCAGTTTTCGAAAGAAATGTCAGTAAGTTAACGTAAGCTTCGCATTCACAGATACAGCATTACTATAAAGGTACAGCATTACAAACAAAGTTGCAATTCAGCATGTGTACGACTGACAGCGCCGTAATAAACAAATCAACCGAAATCAAATCATATGGTTTTATAGACAACAAGTCACAAAACTGTTGACCAACGGTATTTGAAAACTTTAATCTACAGACTGCGAAGCCCATCGAGCGGTTAACGTTGATCCCCGTCTAATGCCGCTTGCAAACTGCAGATCAAGCCCTCTAATTCGGCAGACCATTCGCGCGCGAGTGCGGCTCCAGCGGAATCCGGACCAAACACATGATTGTGCAAATCTTCCGCTTCCTTGCAATAGCTGCGCGCCACGGGATATATCGCTGTTGCTACTGACCGCAGTCGTTTTCTCTGCTTCGGCGGTGTATTCAGCACCTTTTCCTTTATGACAGTCAGCACCGCGATCCCGATCGAGGCTGCCTTAACGGCGAAAGCGACTTCGTACTTTGGATGAATTGTCCTGCAAAAATAAAACACACGGTCACTTGATCTGAGTGGCTGTGTGCACTGCAGCCGGTGACCTTAGACAGTTGACCATCTCCTGCACCATCTTCCAACCCTCTTCATAACGGCCCTCATCGAAATAATCCTGATAGCGGTTAAGCGAATAGACGTAGCGAATATGGGCATCAGGATGGAGAAACGTTTCCGCTTTGACCTCTTTAAAATTTTTCTCAATCTCGAACATCCGAAAAATTTCGTCTAGACCGCTCCGCCACAGCGTGTCGCATTGGTCCGTAAAGCGCCGGAGCTTCACCAGCTGAACTCCGTTAACCGCGCCGCACTGCGGGCACGGCGCCAGTGCACGGCGGTCGCTGGGTATCGGCTCCTGACACTCTGGAGTCACACATTTCAACGGATTGATCGCGGCATCCTAAACCATACGCAGATGGTTCACATTATGAATTTCTCTTCAGTAAGTCTATCAATTTTTACATAAAAAATATCCATCAGAAATATCTAAATATTGCTTTCAAGGAGAATTAAACAGTTACGACGACACAATTCAAATACATTACACATATAAAGCGAATTAAGCCGAAGCGACAAAAAAAGCACTCGGAACGCCAATATACGAGTATGTATCACGTTTGACAAAGGCGAAGAACAAATACGCTGTATGATGATGCATCGGCGTTACCGCGTTATCTTACTTACAAATTCTTTGGTACATTTGCGACAAGTGCATAGACGACCATGCAGCGCCTTGAACACATCACGACGTTCCAGCAGTGGACGCGAAAACGCATCCCGCATCATTCGATTATGACGTAGCTGTATAACATAAAATTAATACAAATCGCCAATCACATTTGCTAACTGCACTATGTATTAGAGAGTTAGGTTTTTAATTTCGCCACTCACATCGTGAAGTCCGGTATAATTTGGTATATCCTGTGTGGCGACAATGATCAAGCGGCGACCTCTGAAGTTCAGAGTAACGTTGACATCCCAGCACACCGGTGTCATGGCCCGGATGGGTGCTTGGGGATAGATGGCCACGGCAAACGGATACTGCCTGTCATCGCGAAAGTCATAGATGGGCACGGCGTTGTAGCCCCCGGTATAATGATAAGTCAGCAAATCCGAGGAAAGTGTGGTCGCCGACTCATCCCTGCAATAGTTCAAAATAAATAAATTAATTTAAATCAAAGAATCTCACACGGGTATTCAACAGTTTTACGTGGCAAATTCAGACTAAGAGAAGCGCCACCATTGCTTCGTTTTAACCACATTGTAGAATGTAGAATGATAGAATCCAACCGATGAATTGATTCTGGCAAACGGGTGCTCAGAGCTCATCGCAACAACGCGATTACTGAGTCCACGAACCTCCAGTGGTCAGAGCAATCGAATAGAAAGTTATTTATCGTTGCTAAATACCACTAAAGGAAACTACGGAGTAATCTAGTGAACAACACAAACAAAAAAGCGGCAAATACGACTACATTTAGGATGTTTGATTTCGAATCGGATGCATGTTTTCGGAAATATTTATTCGGAAACGGCTAAATTCAACAAGATTTAACCTATAGAGGAATCCAGGGATCAAAGATTTAGCGCCGCTCTTCGATCATTAGTTGTGCTATTATCAACATCATTCTAACTCGAGATTATTAAATGCAATTCTTCCAACAGGAAACACAACAAAATGAAAACTGTTAAGCAAAAATGATAAATTCACTGTAATCGTTCTGTGTCTGTGTCTTCGTAATAAAATCATTCCTATAAAATTTTGGACAATATAATATCAAACGATATTTTCACCAATATATGTATGGTTACATTTTGAACTACTTACACTAAAATGACATCCCGGGAAATTGATCGCAGACCACAAGAGCATCTGAGGCGAAGCCCAAGATGACTCTTGTAGGCTTATAACACTGACTCGGACTAATTACGACGTGACAAAGTATCCGTAAATCATGATCATACGGACGTACATTCATAAGCCTGGATAATGAAGTGATTGATACGTATATATAAACTATAACTCGAACGCAAGTGTTAGACTTACGTGGACTCTACACCGCCGCCAGCGGATGGATTGAGAGGAAGCAAGGCGAAAATGTCGGCAGCTGACAGAGTTCCCCGATGGCCGAGATCCATCGTCAAGTTCAGCTACAAAACAACCACGTTTTACACCATTGCTCTCGATTATTTAACCTCAGAAAACGTGCGACAAAAAACTGGCTCAGTGCATGACTGTTTACCCTGATTTTATTCGCTATCTTGGCGACCAGGTCATCCGTCGCTGAGAAACAAAACTGGAAGGGCCCGGCAGGCTGGTCTTTCAGTCGCTTAATCGCCATCCTACCACCGACCTCACGCAGTATAGCACACTCCAGTTTATGCTCTCTTTTCCAGTCGGAGACCTACAAAGTTCCGCGTGTCAGTAAACTATGGTTCTGCGGCATTTCTGACCAACTTACTTCTATAACTCTATTGTTGGTTGTTCATATTTCCTCGTAACCGGCGCATTATGTATTTGTAAAGTGCACTTAATTATAAAAGCTTGTATAACTTACTTGGCACGCTTTGCTGCAGTAGCGATGCAATTGACAACGCGAGCACGTTTGTAGCCCCTCCTTCTCTAGGAAGCAGTTCGCACAGTAGTCCTTGTACGCGGCGCGATCGAATGCCCAGACCCATGGCTCGCAGGTCAGAATAACGTCGCCTGCGGAGAATGATCGACCAACGACATCTTGCTCCGCCACGGCAACTGTTTCCCTAATACTATCCATGGATTCCAGTTTCAGTTCGAAATCACGCGATATTACGCAAGCAAGGTAATCGTTATAAGAGCCGCGCCGGACAGGTAAAAAGAGGAACGAGGGATTCAGGAACTGCTTTTAACAAACAGACACAAATTAAAGGTAATGGAAAATGCACATGATGCTTGAAAGTATGCAGACTAGCAAGAACCGCGTGCGATGCATGGCGATTTGCTCTCGGATCTGCATTCCACATGATCCAGCGTGAAGCGGAAGCGGTGAGTCAGCACCGTTGATAACAGTGTCGAAGACCACTGGGTAGACACACAAAAATTCATGCAACATGCGGTTGCAATGTTGCATAAAGCTTTTATAACACGAACAAGACTTTTATGCATCTGCAGACACGATTCTCCAACGACATCAAAACGCTCAGAAGCTAGGTTTAAAAAAAGGAAAAATGCTTATTTGTCGTATAATTTGTTTAACGTCACGTTGTAGCGGCACTGAGCAAGATAGAAACTTAGATTATTAAAGATCAAAAGAATAAAAAATGTTACTGCACTTTAGAAGCACCGAAAATACCGAAAAAGCTACAGCAGGACGGCGAAAAACGGGAACAAATTACCAGTATTATGCGCGCACTGCTCAACCTTCTGCGAAATTCTCAAAAAAATTGAACGTACTGCTATCACCACCTGCCCAAAAGGCATAACTCATTACCGAAAAAGCGAAACACTCACCGATTCCGAAGAGATGACCGGAGATCCGAACGGACAAAATAAAACGCTGGGTTCTCACTTCTTGGACGTCTGGAACCCGAGAAAAGACAACATCTGCTTCCGTTCAAACGGTCGCTCGTCTCAAAGCAAATCAGTATTATAGGCAGGTGTGAGGGGTATCCATATGGTTTTTATTATGCTGATTGCTTTCTTACGTACCCCAATGATTACCAAAACAATCATCAGTAAAAAGTAAAAACCCGATAAGGAATGGCGAAATTGATTCGGGAAGTTGTAATCGTCAAAAGTGCAAACGAGGAATGTGACTGATTGCGAGTTTCAACTCTCTACTCGAGCGCAGGTTGCTTGCGCCTTGCTGTACAGAAGACCCGCCCCAAACCGTTCTATGGTATAATTATCTATGAAAAGTGCACCGAGAATTATTAATAATTTATTTATCAAAAGTGCACCGAGAATTATTAATAATTACCACGGTTATACCTAGAATTGTATGAATTCGTTTTTCCTCTTTTTGTAATCGCAGTACAATATAAAGTTTGTGCGAAATTAGGTTAGTTTAGTGAATACGAGTCCAAAGCAAAAACCGTAATTACAAAATTAAAATGTTTATAATACCTAAATTAACAGCTGTTAGGATATTAACTCGTTATAGCTCAACTTGGCGGAAGTTTTAAATGTACGTAACTTGAAACACTCCCAATTACTGACTTGCTGTTAAATGAAGCACCAGTTTGTGGATAAATTACTCGTATCAAACTGTACAATAATACCGCACAATTACAGCCTTTACATGTATAATTATTGTATACAAGTACAGATCACTATAATCAATTGCGTTGAAAGCTGACGCGCGCATAATTAACCACCTGCGTACAGTTTTGAAAACCATCCAGGAATAAATTTCTATAGAAATGTAACCACTTGTATCTATATTCAAAACAACGGTACATTTCTCAAATTTTAGCTGTCACAAGTTATTATGTAAGAAACTGGAAAGAAAACTAATATTATGACTACTATTACGTGCATTTATAACAAATAAAAATTATTCCAATTTTACCTAAACAGTAAATTTGTTAGAGTGAGACTTATTCTAATCGCGAAAATCGGCACATATACTGATCGCATAACAATGATATAACATTGGAAAAACCATATTCCAACATTTTTCATTTCAGTACAGTATTTTTTGTTACTACGGTTTATGGGTTATTTATTAGCTTTGTACCGCTGTGTTTGTACGAGATACGCGGTACACCGGTGCTTGTATAACAGGTTGTATCCCGAGCAAAATTTAATAGATATTAATATGCAGCTGGAGTAATTTCCCAAGATGGATCAGACAGCACCTCCAAGACACATCATAATAATTATTGATGTTGCAGACATCATCTGATAGTTTATGCATAACAAACGGTAGGAAATGGTAGGCAGAACGTTCCGTAAAGCGCAATCTTAATGATCATAAAATTATATCCGTCAACAAGATAAACATGATGATTCGGTATTCCTTTCGAAAAGCAAAAATTTCAAATTGAAGCAATCATTTATTAATCCGGACAATCATGGGACGCAAGCGGAAGTAGATGTACATGTGCGGAATATAAAGGCCTGAAATTCTGACGCACACTGACAATGAATGCACAAGAGTACAAGATAAAGACGTTCACATTTTAATATGTTGAGAGCGACTGGCATGAAAACGCAAATTCTGCAGAGTGCCAAATGTGATAACGAAAGAAGGCTTTGGTGTGCACTTACCCAGCAATAACAACCATGTCCATCTGGTAACTGGTGAATCAGCCATCCTTATCTCGGCATTCTCAGTGTTGATGGTCTCCGGGCGTTCTGGTGTGTGCATCCAGGAAGCGGCATAGTTTTTTACTGTAGCCGTACGGTACCAAGTGAGTACGTTTCGTTGAACGTGGCTCGTTTGATTAATGCGCGGTGCAGGGTATATGCGAGGCTATTTCACAATTAAATGCCAGGGCGTTTCCGCCGGAAACGCACTGACCTTGCACTGTGAACTTGCCAACCTCTCGGGAATGCCCCCTTTCCGGTCGTGTGTACAACGCGCCAGGAACGACAGTGCGAACTGACGGACTCCACCTCCAAATTCTTCTGAGTTGTGAATCAGTTTCTCGAGTCTTATCTCGCATGCTCCAATGTTGAAGCTATTTTCCGGTGGGTGCATTTCCGGGCGGCAGGGTTCTTCAAGCTAGCCGCATGACATCAACTACCAAAGTCGCCTTTCCAATGTGCTAGCAGCGTGACAGCGTCTGCATGTAATGGGTGCTTCTTACCTCGCTGTTCTCCAGTGTTGATGTGGTTACGGCTGTGTATTGTGCACCTGGAAGCGGCATGGTCGTTCGCGCTGTCCGGGCCACGGTATACGGCGTCAGAAACACGCCGTCCGAGGTCATCCTGCTGATTTCTGCGGGAGCGACCAGCTCGTAACTATTCTGGCTGAGCAGGAGCAGTTTGAATAAAGGCTTCGTCGGCTCTGTCGTATGTAGTCCTTATCCTGGGTTTTGTTGCATTCCGGAATGAAATCGCCGCTTGGAGCTGTCGCGTATCCATCCATGACAAGCCTACCGCGGTAATGGTGCTGTAGTGTACTGAACGAGCGCCTTATGTATCGTAGCAACGATGCATCGCACGTAGGTTCAGTAAACCACAGGCATCATTGCACCGGATGGCTGAGCGCCTTATGTATCGTAGCAACGATGCATCGCACGTAGGTTCAGTAAACCACAGGCATCATTGCACCGGATGGCTGTTTGCCATTCATAAAGGCACGGACCACGATGGAAAACGGTTGCATAAAGTGGATGGAAAGTGGATGCATACAGTTGCCGTCCCCGCCGACGATAACAGTTGCCGTCCCCGTCAACGGTTATTAGGGAGTTCAATTCCCTTATTGAAATCCCAACGGTAAAGGTGGTCGGGTTATCGTTGTCGGGGTTTTGCGGGTGGTATGGTTGCAGGCCGTAAAGGGCGTCATGCTAACGGGATCCGATTCCGCCGTCGATAAGTGCGTAAACCTAATAAATCACAATGGTCTATGACCAATCGTGTTAAAAGCTGACGCGAACATAATCGAAACTCACGATCAGAAGTACAGTATAGCTTTATAAATTTGCAAAGAAACTAACTTGTAAGTGTAACTTACTTATATTTAAGACGATCGGAAACTAAATTTAATTGTACCTGAACTTCAGCTTATGTGTCATTTACTTGTTAGAAAGAGACTTGCCAGAAAATCGTATGTAGAGCGATTCAAGGCAGGCAGTGCAGTAAAATTATTTCTGCTGACATGTATGTACATGCGCTAAACGCACAACATTGGCAAACAACAACCCAAATTCCCATACTGTATTCTTTATTAATACGCTTATTACGGGTTATTTAGAGATTTGTACTGCTGCGATTTCACGTTGTACCTCTACAACGTACTTGTACAGGCTCTTGCATCCAGTGTAAATATACGCAGCTGGAATAATTCCGCGAGACGGAACAGGGAGCACCTTCAAGCCACTTTTTAATCGCAGACACCATCATTCGACCTGATGTTTTGTGCATGACAAACGGTAGAAAAGTGGGAGGAAACAAGTTCCGTAATGATGTAGGCTGCATATATGTGCAATCCTAATAATCATATCCATTACACATCCGTCAACAAGTTAAGGCTTATTCGGTTACCCTTTCGTAAAGCCAAAATTAATCGAGCTGCACATGGAACCACTCATGGCTCTAATATTCCGACAACCATGGGACGCAAGTGGATGCACACGAATCTGTACATATGCGGAATAGAAAAGCCAGCAATACTGATGCACATGCACAGCACAAGACAAAGAAGTTCACGTTTTCGTGCTGAGCGCGACTTGCATGGAAACGGAAATTCTGCAGAGTGCAGAATCTGATAAATTAAAGAAAGAACGCTTTGGTATGCACTATGCACTTACCCAGCAGCAACAGCATGTTCATCTTGAGCTAGTGGATGGTTAATCAGCCCTTCTTATCTCGTCATGCTCCAGTTTCGATGTTGTTGTTCAGCATGAACATCTGGCATACTCGTTCACTGAGGCCGGACAGTATGAAGTTAAAATGCTTCTCTGAACTTTGACGTTCTTTCGGTTATTACGCGGCCAAGTGCACATGCGAGGCTATTTCGCAGTTCAAGGCCAAAACGTTTCCGCCGGAAGCGCACTGACCTTGAACCGTGAATCGGCCAGTCGCTCCAACATTCCTTCTTACCAGATGTGTATACATACGCGGGTATAACAGTCGAGATTAATGTTAACGCGGGTATAACAGTCGAGATGTATTACATAGCTGTTTTTCATTTTGGAATGAAATAATGATTAATGTGCCTTTTTGCAAAATATTTTGCTAGTTTTCTTCAAATAATTTTTAAGACAATGCAGGTTAATCTACGTGCGCTGCAGTGACCGAGCAGAATACCTTAAAATGCTGATTGCTGCTTAAATTAATTATGAAATTAAATACATACCTCGATCACATGGATGATTCCGCCAAAATGCCGTGATCGCGCCATTTCGGCAACTGGGATGACGGTGTCCATAATTATTGTGGTGCTGGTTGTGAAGAAAATGCGCGCGCACTTAAACCGAAGAATCTGGTGGTTTGCAGGCGCGCTTCAGTGAGCCTCCCGATGAAGCCGTTCAAGGCCGCTGCCGACGTCACGGGCGCTGACTTCGAACTGTGAATTGGTCAATCACTCCAGTATGCTTTCCCTCTCCAGACTTGCATGCAGCGCACCCACAATTATGCCCTTGCAAATATAACGGACGACAAATTAAAAATGTTCGTAAACGTGGGAACGAAATCGTAGTAAAGACCCAAAATTTATTACCACGACTTCCGGTGATGGCGCCGAGAATAGCGCAATGTGTGGGCAATGCGTCAATGCATAGCAGCTCAAGCGGAGCCCGCTCGCCGCTTCCGGTTCGTGTCCGACCACGACAGTCCACGTTTACGTCTTCCAACGGAAGCCGCCAGGCACGCTTGCAATAATCAAGATCTCCAAAGTTATCAGTGCATGTAATTCACGAGTCAGTGAAGTGCGCATTGCCCGACGAAGCCGTTAGGGGTACGCTGCCGGTATTCCAGATCCGATACGATGCCCCAAGTATGGCGAACATTACGACTATTGTGGAGATAAAAAATGATCGATTCAATAGCCTGCGAGATTACATCTCTGACCAACCAACCTGAGACTCTCCATCAGGTGCGATGGACCCCATTTTACCTGCAAACATAGAAGCATCAGCACA